GGAGGAGAACACAATACACCAGAGTCGTAATTACCTCCCTCGAATGACGAAGTAAGGAGAGAGAATGGAATAAGGTATAGAATAGTGTTTAATTGAAGAGCAGCCGAGAGAAATCAGGAGAGTCTGGCTGATTAAAGAATTGAGTGTGTGTTTGCTGCCGTTCTGAAATAAAGTTCTAAGGAGATATTTAAAGAAAAGTGCTAATGAGAGCGAGGCTTGTTAAGGGTAAACAAGAGTTGATTTGATCGAATGCTAACTGTAGCAGGCTTGGACAAGGGCTAAGTGTAGCAAGCTTGGACAAGGGCTAAGTGTAGCAAGCTTGGACAAGGGCTAAGTGTAGCAAGCGTGGACAAAGACTAACGGGAACTGGACCGGACATGGACAAATGAGAATGTGATTGTACATAGAGCACTCCTGTACTCCTACTGGCCGAGTACTCCTGTACTCGGCCAGGAGCCGGTCGGCCGAGCGGACAGCACGCTGGACTTGTGATCCTGTGGTCCTGGGTTCGACCCAAGGCGCCGGCGAGAAACAATGGGCAGAGTTTCTTTTACCCTATGCCCCTGTTACCTAGCAGTAAAATAGGTATCTGGGTGTTAGTCAGCTGTCACGGGCTGCTTCCTGGGGGTGGAGGCCTGGTCGAGGACCGGGCCGCGGGGACACTTAAAAGCCCCGGAATCATCTCAAGATAACTCAAGATAACGGAGAGGCTGATCCTGAACAAAACTTCAGTGATAACTGGATGCGAATAATTGATCCTAATTACATACGAGTATATATGGTATGTTTGTATATATGCGTGCTTGTGGCTGATACTCGGTTTGAAGGCAATGTTTTCGTTATTGGCTTCTGGAAAATATTAGAGGTGCTGGTCCCAAATCTGTACAAAGAAATAACGTCACATACGAGACAAGGAGGCATGGCAGGATGTGCAGAATACTTCTGTTGAACAGCAGAGATGCACAAAATACGAAGAGAGAGAGAACTCTCTTAACATCAGAGGCCAAAGACTGTTCAACACGCTTCCATTACACATGAGGGGCATAACTGGACAACACATCACAGTGTTCTAGAGAGAACTCGATAAACACCTCCAAAGTATACCTGATCAACCAGGCTGTGACTCATACTCTAGGCTACGAGCAGCCGCGCCCAAAAGTCTGGTTCACCAGTCCATCAACTTTTGGAAGCCAGGCCAGAGATTGGGTCTCGGGGACCTTGAATCCCGGAATCACCGCACGATTACCCGCAAGTAATCTATCAGTTGACTAGTGAACAGTCTTCTCCATCACTTCACATTCAGTCCATTTAGTTCATTCAGTTCTCTGATAATGAAAAGTATTCGAATGAGGTTCATTTGATTAATAAATCTAAATTTTACTTCATAGTTAGTGTATCATTAATTTTATCTGACCAGTCTATTATCCAGTGAATTTTGCATGTGGTGATCATTTCTCCCTGGCCTTTTTTCTCGTCCAGTGACGTTGTTTAGTTCGTTTTTGACTTTCATTGTAGCTCATTCGTTTCAGCAGCTCTAGTTGCTATATAGAGTTATATTTCTTTGACATCCTCCAAATTTGTTTTCTGTTACCTCTGTATGACTTCCAATATGGCTACGAATATTCAACAACAGGTCTGACATATGGGATATCCAGATATGATAACAAAGTCACACAACAGAAAGTGGAGAAACGACGACGTTTCGGTCAGTCCAAGAAGCATTATCAAGCCGTGTAACAAGAGACAGTAAGATATAACAAAATAGTATATCCAGATATTCCAAAAACACGGTCCACATATTTTCCAACATCACATATACTGATGGTGATCACTGTTCTGTGTGATAATATATCCATCATACTCTTCACGATATTTTGTTATCAGTTCTAATTTTAACAGTACTACAGTTATACTTAACTGGGTGTTATGCAGACTGAACTACTACTGAGTAGTGTGTTGATAGAGAACTGTTACTTAAAATTCCCCGTTAAAATGAGCCTTAGTTCATTTCAAAATTTACATAGCAAGAATTTTTTAAATAACTTCATCACTTTCGCTCGAGAAGCCTCGTTAAAGTTGTGGCATAACTTGATATGCTTGCAAAAAATTGTGTGTTATTTTGCTTGACGTTGATAGTTATAATATTTTTGTTTTGGGCATAGTTTGTTTGTATAAGTGGAGATTTGAATCTTTGATTTCTCTTCCTTTTCAATTATATCTTTAATACTGGAAGGGTTCTCCATCTGTCACACTTTCCCTTCTCCTCTTATATTTTATTTCTCTCTTGCCCTCTTCTTTCCCAATTCATCCGGCCTTTGCACGCATCATCCTCTTGTATCACCTTTATCCTTCATCTTCACCATGTCCCCTCTCATCTTCGACCCATACTAAGTTCACTGTATATATTATCTTCACTTGCATAATTATCTTCGCAACTCACTATCTCCATCGTTGGAATCATCTTCCCAACTCACTATTTTCATTGCTGGAACCATCTTGCCATCTCACTATCTTCACTATAAGCATCTTGCCAACTCACTATCTTCTTCACTGGAACTCACTGTCTTCATCACTGCAATCGTTCGTCGCTTTCGAGTAAGTCAAGACAATGCTCGGGGAAGCAGGTATTTGTATTAGTAAACACAAATCAGAAATCTTCAGAGTTTAACTGGGTGTTTTCACCACTGAAGAGCATAGCTCAGGTATTTTCTGTCTTTGAAAATACGAATCAAGTGTTTTAGTACTGATTAATTTGAATGGCGGCATTTTTAGTGTTGGAAAGCGCGATTTGTGTTTCATGCATTGTGAAAAACGAATCGTGTTTTAGATATTACATGTGACTCGGAATCGTGGCAGCGTTTTAACTGCAATGTCATTATGAGAATAATTGATGATTTGTTTTACCTTAACATAAATAATGAACGATGAGATTCTGGAGTATATCGAGCCGATATTATGAATACTTAACAGCGAAGAGCTAGATTTTCTTCTTATTTTACAATTAATATTGCAAAACCTATTTAATACACTGAAATACACCGCTGTATTTCGTTGATCGAGTAACCTCTCTACGTCCGCTATCGTCTAAATGACAGGCTAAAAATTGGTGCAAGATGAAAAGAACACTAATCGCAAATAACAAGATAATTGGGTGCTGTTCTTCCCTGGTGAACACCATTATCATGAACAGTAGAACGAGGTAAAGAGTTATCATTCCCTCGTGAACATTAATATCATGATCAGCTCGAGTATGGATTTTTTTGGGTCTCTCTTGTTGAACATTATAATTCTGAACAACAGAGCGAGAGGATTATCCGTTCCTTCTGAACATCATAACCACCTTCCCAGGGGCTCCAGGGAGGCTAATGTTGCACATGCATTCATGAATGCGAAATTAGCTTCAAGGTATTTGCAAGTAGTCGGATGTGCCACGCGTTCTGGGCACAGCATATATACATATAATTCGCTGGGATTATATAGTGCAATAATATATAGTACTGAACATAGCGTCCGTGTTATATATTATTGTTATGGAAATTCTTCTTTGATCATAACTCATTATTTGTTATTTAGTGTCGTCCTATTGCCAGTATTTAATTATGATCTGTGAATTAAAAATTGTTTACTCATTTCCTGGTTCAGAGTCTTGCTTAGCAACGGCTTGGCTTATCTAAATAAGAGCGTGCAAAGTATTATTAAGCATGAGCTAGTACATTGTAGCGTTTCTTTTGCTAATCTTTCAATTACTAAGAGACAATTAGCAATTTTTTTTATCATTCCTTTAACCTGCTGGATAATATTTTTTTTTAAACTGAATGGTGTATTTGAATTCCATCATTACTTATGTATAGCAGTTTTACTTAGAGGAAACTATAAATATCATTGCCATGAAAATAGTACCTAAATTTGATGCAAACGTTAGGGGCTATCATCTAATACATGCCAGGATTATATTGGATGCCTGCTATATGTATATATATATATATATACATATATATATATATATATATATATATATATATATATATATATATATATATATATATATATATTTTATATATATATATATATATATATATATATATATATATATATATATATATATATATATATATATATATATATATATATATATATATATATATATATATATTCTGCTATAGCCTGTGAGATGTGTTCACCAACATAGGAAAGATTCCCCCGGCTAAACTACGCAGTTTTTTTCTGCTTGCCGCTTCCTTTAGATCCTAATTTGTTATTTTCCAATTATTCCCGTTCCCTCATCCCCACCCACACGATGACTTCTGAGTCAGCTGTCACGTGTTTTGATCGTCGTGGCCTTAATATGTCCAGAGAGAGGGAGAGAGCGACCTGCCACTTCTGAGAGATGTGCAATTACCCGGGATATTCTTGGAGCATCCCAACACACACACACCCACATACACAGACACATGAAGAAGCACATACACATACACATACAAACACACACACACACACACACACACACACACACACACACACACACACACACACACACACACACACACACACACACACACACACACACACACACACACACACACACACACACACATACACACACACACACTTAGCTGAGCCCAATAGGCTCAGGAACCTGTATATTAGTTGATTGACAATTGAGAGGCGGACCAAAGAGCCAGAGCTCAACCCCCGCAAGCACAACTAGGTAAGTACATCTAGGTAAGTACACACACATACACACACACACACCCAAACACGCACACACACACTCAAATGTGGAGATTATCCTTCACTTAACTCCTTTCTCTTCACAGTGAATAGTTAGACAGCTATTGTTAGCATTACAGAAATAATTAGGCCAGTAGACTGTTCATTCATTTAGTTCTAACTACGTAACCTACGTAATAAATTACCAGAGGTTCAGTAACTCAGAAAAACCTTTACATGACGCTAAGTAAAACTTGATTTAAACGTTGATTAGAGCTGTGACGACTTACCACGTTGATGATCTGTTGAAGCGTGAGACCCAGTTTGACAACGATGGCTGAAGACTCGTTGGCCGTGGGTCGTTCCAGCTTGTTGTAGTCCCGCAGGAGGTCGTTAAGGAGCCTCCGTTCGTGGTAGCCAGGCAGACATCCTGTGGGAGGAGGAGACGAAGGCGTTTAAGTTAGTTTTTTTATCTCCTTGTTAAAACGTTGGCAATTATTATTATTTTCTTTCAAGAGCTGTAGAAGCTCTAATTTAAACTAATGTGCTCAAATTTTTGGGTATGTAGGTCAGATGCTTGGGGTCTAGTCTTATTTAACTTTGCAGGATTAATGCCTCTTTTGAGTCCAAGGAGGCATTAATGAGTCCACCTTAATGCCTTCTTTGTAGAGGGTATGTCCCTGTACATCCTTCACGAAGTTGGTGGGGATGAAATGGGCTACTCAAATTTCATACAGTTCACATTCGTTTATATATTAGTGTGTTTAGATATTGCTTTGCGTAAAAAAATGTTTAGATGACAAATTTGCAATGTGTGCATAATCATATGGCCTCAGTGATAGGGATAGTGTGTAGGAATTTTTATACCGTGAGGAGGTGGAGAGGGAATGAGTGGGGGATGGAGGGAGATAACAATGAGGGAATGTGTGTGAATGATGTGTGGAGGGTATGTATTGGGGGAGATGGGGATGTTGTACACGGGGAAGAGATTGGTTGGGGGTGCGTGTGGGAGGCGAGGTATGGTGAGGGTGTGTAGTTGGGGAATGCCGTGGGGGTGTGTGAGAAAAGAGACAGAGAGGATGTGTGTAAAACAAAAAACAAACAGATATAACCTGTATGGAAGAGGAAAGCGAGGGTGTACGGTGGGAGACTTGGGGAATAACATCATCCTGAGAAAGCTGATACAATAGATTTACAGGAGGATAAAACGTTTTATAATATAAAAATTGATTCAAGAATATAAACAAAAACCAATGTATATACAGAAGAAAACAGCTAAAGAATTAAGACCAACAAAATCTGTATATTGAATCAAAGTATCTAGAAGAAAAAAAATAAAATAATATACAATTTCACTAAAGAGCATTGTAATCTACAACAAAATAACAGAATTATAGGAAACACAGACACATGAAAGAGACACATAATACATCTATATGTATTGATGGTGCAAACTGGAGTGACAGAAAAAGGCCAATGCTAATCAACGATTACAACGAAAGTCGATTAAAAAAATTAGTTTTTTTCTTCAAATGATGGACTTTGGCGAGGAAGAAACACCACAGGCACTTTTGTTTTAACTTTTCCACTGTTATAAGCCGTCTATTTCATTCCACGGACCCTACAGTTTGTATGATGAGTCGACGTACAAACATTCTAAAGAAAAGATAAGGGAACGAATAATGATAAATGATGCAGTCTTCCCTTAAGAAGAATTTCCTTTCTGCGTCACCTTAAAATCTATATATCCTCTCTCTCTCTCATTCTTTAGCTCAAGCTAAGACTTCTTTCAATTGGAATATGGTCAACGCTTTGCCCTGGAAATTTGATCAAATCCCTTAATTCAAGAATTTAAATTTATTAAATATTATGTATCATTTAAACGGGTCCAAAGTTAATGTGAACCAAATTTAGACCAGAGCGTTAATATAGACAGATTTGTACGAATATATGCTTGTTATTAGAAGAAATTGAATACTCTTCTCACAAATAATGAATAGTTCCCGAGGAAAGAATTGACGGTCTTTGGAATATTTTAGCTTGTTCAAGTAGTGAGACCATGTCTGGAACATAGTGAAAGTAGACCTTTGACATAACAGCTAAAGACATGATATGAATCACAATTCATACCTTTCTATCCTGTAAAGAAGCCAGAAAACCAATGGTGAAACATTTGTCAAGAAAATAGTTTATACATGAGATACAAGTGAGGTTGTTAAAACAAAAACTTTGAAACTTCTGCTCTCGATTAGGTTTGACATTCTCCATAGATCTGATGATAATTTCGTTCTCTCACTTGCCAGCTTTAGCACATATTTCGTGCTGCAAAATTAATCTACTGTACCTCGATGATGAGCATTTCGCCGTTTAGGATTTAGTCCTCCAAATTATAGATATAATACACACACAATCATTACAATTATTTGTTAATATAATGATAGATCAGAATTAAAAGGCTTTCTCAATTCATATTAAATGTTTCACCCGTTAAATTGATTGTATTCAATTCTGAAAAAGTTTATTCTCATTATCTGTAATAGTGAGATAGATATTACTGCGCGCTATTCTAATAAAAGAAACCATACCAAATATATATATTAACCTAGAACAATATACATTAAACTATTTCATAATTGATAAAAGTTGGAAACAAATAATATTAAGCTGTTGTCCAGCAATTCTTTGGATACTTTTTGAGCTATGAATGTTATTGCAACACTATGAATTTTCTCTAGGGCGTCATTCTATCAGTTTTCCTGTGTTTATTCTTTAAAATAGAACCCATTTTTCTAATTTGCATATATGTAATATGTACACGGCAGCCGCACTATGATTTATCGTTAATTCATAACTATCCACGTCTGAACAAACCCTTTCTAATTATATTTTGTTTAAATGACAGCAAAGAGTTACTCTCTTGGCCTGGAAATTAAGATTTTGAATGGCAATTTGGCAGAGGATTTTTCTTCAGAAGGCCCTAATGTATGTTGAAACACAGGAATATAGGAAACACTGAAGGAAGCAAAAATATTTACCAATACAAAGTTGCTTTAATTTGGATCCACCAAATGCATTTATATAAATGTTTAGTCTACGGTTAAACAACCCAACGATCCAATGGTAAAGGGTTTTTCATTAATCACCTTCTCTCCTACGAAACTAGTACTTATCCAGGTCTCGATTGAATCTAATCTTATAAAAAATTTGTCTATTGTTTCGTTCTCTATTGTGTGTTGATATATTGTTAACATTATAAAAATACGTCAGTAATGTCACCCCCTTACTCCTCTCCTTTGTCAAAATTTTTTATTAAGCATTTTAATATGTTTTCATTGCAGTTTTCGTGAGAAAATTCGGTATATATCTCCTGACTTGTTTATGAGAATTTAAGTTGGTTTATACTATGCATTTCATATTGCTAACTTTTTATAGAAATCCTATTATCATTTTTCTTATATTTAGAGAATTCATGCATTGGTATTTAGGCTTAAGCTCCCAACTAATCATGATTTCATGATTAGTAGAAAGATACTTCGTAATAATAATTGAGTTTTACTTACGTTTGACAATACTAATTAATTATAAGAATAATCATGTACCGTCAGGCTGGTAAGCTAGTTTTGATTTAATTTAATATAATATTGCAAATCATATGCTACTAAATAAATGTATCTCGTACTGCATAACAATAAGTGATTGGAAAACCTTATTTTTAAAGCCATCAATACCTGGAAAATGTAATAATTGAAATAGACTCACAAGCGATCAAGTATTATATATTTAGTTTTCATTTGAGTTTCTGTATTATTTCATTATTCATTAAGTGTTAATTTATTCGTTACACACACACACACACACACGCACACACACACACACACACACACACACACACACACACACACACACACACACACACACACACACACACACACACACGCATACACACACACACACACACACACACACACAAGGGGGGCCTCGTAGCCTGGTGGATAGCGCGCAGGACTCAGGACAGAAACAAATGGGCAAAGTTTCTTTCACCCTTAGTGCCCCTGTTACCTAGCAGTAAATAGGTACCTGGGATTTAGTCAGCTGTCACGGGCTGCTTCCTGGTGTGTGTGTGTGTGTGTGTGTGGTGTGGGGGGAAAAAAAAAGTAGTTAGTAAACAGTTGATTGACAGTTGAGAGGCGGGCCGAAAGAGCAAAGCTCAACCCCCGCAAAACACAACTAGTAAACACAACTAGTAAACACACACACACACACACACACACACACACACACACACACACACACACACACACACACACACACACACACACACACACACACACACACACACACACACACACACACACACACACACACACACACACACACACACACTAGGTTTGCCACCAGACTAGAACCCGAGCTGAGAGGTATGAGCTACGAGGAGAGACTACGGGAATTGAACCTCACTTCGTTGGAAGACAGAAGAGTTAGGGGGGACATGATCACCACATTCAAGACTCTCAAGGGAATCGACAGGGTTGATAAAGACAGGCTATTTACACAAGGGGCACACGCACTAAGGGACACAGGTGGAAACTGAGTGCCCAAATGAGCCACATAGACATTAGAACGAACTTTTTTAGTGTCAAAGTGGTTGACAAATGGAATGCATTAGGAAGTGATTTGAGGGAGGCTGACTCCATACACAGTTTCAAGTGTAGATATGATAGAGCCCAGTAGGCTCAGGACACATTACACAGTTGATTGACAGTTGAGAGGCAGGACCAAAAAGCCAGAGCTCAACTGCCGCAAGCACAAATAGGTGAGACACAATCACACACACACACACACACTTAAAATAAGATTTGCATTAGATAGGTAATTCATATTAGTCTGGGTCTGAAGACTTCAATAAAGTGGCTTACTAGCATGAGTAACATATACATATCCAGCTCGTATATAAGATGTACAGATAAGTAGATAAGATAAGATGTAGATAAGAGCCCAGTACAAATGCAATCTTAAAAAATATTTAATCCAAAGGAACTGAATTGAAAGGGACAGAAAAATGAGGGTCACTGGTCCTCACAAACCTTCGTGAAACAATAACTCCATTACTGGCAGTGAAGACTCTAAAGTATTACACGAGCAGGAACCACAAACCTTTGTGACCCTAAATATATTAAAAATAGCGTGAAAAAGATTTTTACCTCCACTTGAACTCACAATTTCAGTTTGACATAAGTATAGCGAGTATATTAAGTCGTATTTTATTACAGATACATACCAGAAATTTCATTATAATATACACTTAGTTCAGGTATCTTTAATGTTTTTAATTATAATAATAATATTTTATCGTAAAATGTTTGCCTACGAAGAATAGTAGCTTGTTCGAAAATATGTTTTTATTCTCTAACATTTCTACTGCGAATGTTA